TCCTGATGGGAGAGTGGATCGCTGCTTTCTCCCTCTTTTGTCAACCTGATTGTCATCTTGGAAATGGAAGCAATCAACCCAGGTAGACATGCTAGGTTTGCATGTGATGTGTATACTGAAGCATACGATTTGTAAGGAGGCATGATTCTCTCTACTCTGGCCTGAACGAGTTGTTCGTATATCATCTCTTGTAATAAGCTTGTTTAACATCCCTGGGACAGCTCCATCTATCTTTCATCTACTTGTAAAGAGTCTGCTCGTTTCATAGTTTAAGTGAAAACACCATTAATGTGCTGCTCCTCATTACTTGGTTTAGAAAGCCTATTTTACTGATACCAATGGATTAATAATCCAAAGAAACCAAGAAAAATAAATTGTAATGAATCGCTGTGGATGTTTAGCCCTATAATTACAACTCTAAGTAGAAGTTCGACTATTGTAGACATTTTAAAGGGACGGTATGAAGCTGAGCTGAATCACCAGGAAGCTGACAAAGGAAAGCTAAAATCCTGTAAATGCATGAAGGATTTTTCTGGTTAGAATAATAGTATCAGTCTGGTCATTGTGAAACTGCAGGTGCTTCAACCTTTTAAAAGTTAAAATGAGTATCAAGACCCAATCATATCATCAAAAATTAAAGGTCAGATAAAATAGCGTTATCTCTGTTGGCCAAGGAAAGGATTACTTTGTAGGAAAAGTAACGGAACTGGGAAGATGTAATAAGTAGTGATGCTAAGAGCAAGGCACTTTTTAATCTCTTTAAGACTCAAATTTCCCCACGGTGTGCGATTAATATAGAATTCATGGTATCTTTGGAGGATTATTTTATACTTGTAAGGCATTTGGAGGTGACATCATGCATAAAGGTGTAAAATGTTCCTACACTGTTATTTATTATTATTATTATTATTATAAAGCCATTCTCAACAGAGGTAAGATCACCCCTAGTAGTTTCTGTTATCGTAAGGCAGAATGTAGGACAAAAAGAAGGTAAAATGACAGCCACATAGTGTGCTTTTAAATAGAACTCCCCAGTAGCATCACATGCATTGTTACTTTAAGTAGAGCAAATAACAGTTTCCCACAGTATTTTCCCTTTCCATTATGTATGTACTTGTAAAAAATGCTGTAATTTAGCCCTGGAAATATCTGTCCACAATTAGCCAATACAGGTGCCAAGCCTCAGGTCTGCCTTTAAGGGGCAAGTTTCACTGCCATCAACAGTTATGCTTTGTGCCAATTCAGGTGATGAGGATTATTTTGCTGCTAGGAACTGGACTGAGAGCTATGAACTCATCTTGCACAGAACCCCAAATGAGTATGAGTTAGGTAACAGCTTTTATTCCCTATCAGCCTGAGCTGGAGTTGGACCAGAAACCAGGAGTTCTGAAATGTAGCAATTCTGAGTCTGAGTCCCACAGTCATCAGTGAAGCCTGCAGAAGCAGAATTTTCCAGTGTGCAGTGCTGCATCAGTTTTGTAGCAGCCCGATGGACCCCTATATAGGATGCATTTTGGCCACTGGCCCTTAAGAAACAAATACTGTAAATGTTGACCATTTTTCTTCCTCTCTCACTGTTGCCCTGAACAGAGAAAAGACAAGCTCCGGGAGCACATGCAAAGAATGCACAATCCAGAACGAGAGGCCAAAAAAGCTGATCGAATCGGCCGCTCCAAAGCCTTCAAGCCTCGGATAGCTTCTACTGACTATGAGAGCTTTGTGTTTAAGTGTCGACTGTGCATGATGGGGTTCCGGAGGAGAGGCATGCTGGTCAGTGTCCATATGCGAGCAATAAACTTTGTCGCTTAGAAAATGTTTTGCTGCACCTAACAATTTCTGATTTCAGGTGATTAGAATGCAGGGTGTAGAAAAAACTGCAAAGTTCTTATAAGATGTCCTTTTTCTCCTGCTTAGTTTGCCTTCTCCCATATCCATCCATCTCTCCCATTTTATCACATTTGTTTCTTTCATGTCTACTTGTCTCATGTTTCTAAGGTGCCTGTCATCATGGTATCTAGGCACTGTGATTTATAATGCAGCCATCATAGTGGTGTCTGAGCACCAAGTATACAATTAATAACAGTTACATAGACCAAACAAGATGCAGGCTTTATCATTCAGTGTCTGTACATTGCTCTGTTACTAAATGGAGTTTCTTTGGGCCCTCTTTCTGCCCCCTACTATCTTTCTTTCCTTTTTTTTTCTTTCCATTCTTCCTGTGAGGGTCCTCTCCCAGCCATTTCCTTTTATTGTGGGGGAGAAAAGGGGCCGTGCAAACAGGCTTCATGCTGCATTCCTTGAGGACTCAAGCGGATTGTGATCCCTGCTAGGAAAGGATTCTTCAACTGAGAACACCTTACCCCCCAGCCCTGTGAAGTTTAAGCCCGTTCCCTTCCTTTTCTCATCTTTGATCCTGCATGAACGTGATGACATCTGGCCCTCCTTGTGAGGTTACCAGAGAAGAGGCTGAGTGCTTTGGGGACTTTATTACAGATTCATGCTGCTGGAGGATTTTCTGTTGCACCGACTCAAAGCGAATTAGGCTAGTGTGTATAAGGAGAATTCAGCTGAGGGAATGTGTACTGTAATAATGTTGCTTTTCCCATCAGCAGTTCTTTCAGCCAGAGAAATTGTTAATGGGATCCAGTATGACCAGGTTAACCTTCAGCAGTTGACCACAAGTGTATGTTAACCCTGTGCCATCAGATGAGTTATGTGCTGCTGGTTAGCAACAGTGCATTTTCCTGGTGGGATGTGACATTGTAGAGCGCTGACTTCCCATGTCCACAAGAAGAGGTAGTTGTATAGCTTCCAGCTGTAACATGCTCCCTTATTCTGTTTTCTTTCTTTCTCGTAGGTGAATCATTTATCAAAGAGACATCCAGACATGAAAATAGAAGAGGTGCCAGAGCTAACATTGCCCATCATCAAACCCAACAGAGATTACTTCTGTCAGTATTGTGATAAGGTATGTAAGAAAATCACCCATTAGAGTGTAGCACAGCTATAGACTTAAGTGTAACAAATTTGTCTGTATGTGTAGACATCTGGCAGAGCTTGTAATTTTCTTGAGAAAATATCTAATTGAACTGGCCAGTGGCATTATTCCTGCCAGCACTAGCAAAGCAGAAATGAAAATGAAATGTGCTGAGGCACCTGAAATTTTTAGTTCTGTTTCTCTCCTCTTTGTTTTGGATATTTTTGAAGTCTGGAGCTTGAAGGTTTTAAGGACATAGTAGCAGATCTCTTTGTTGATGGCTTTGATCTAGTAGAACATATGCATACGTGTAATCCTGTTCAAGACTTTGCACTGCACAAGGCTACTACGGGCCTGATTTTCACTAACTACTCCTTTTGGCTTGCAAGTGTCTAAAAATCAGGGCCTACGTCCTTTTATTATGAGCTGCCTACTTCTTAGCCATATGGCAGTGATTCCCAGTATTCAGTATAGCCTTCAGCTTCTTTGCTTTGGCTTTGGATACTTACACTTTCAGGATGCAAATTATTCACTGAGCTCCATTTTTATGTGGGCTGTCATTTATCATGGAAAATGCCCCAGCATGTCTTGTCCTCTACCACCAATGCCAGAGTCTCTGGTGTACAGGAGAGCCCTGTTCCTAGCAGAATGCTTCCCAGATTTATTTAGCTTGCTATTTGTTTTTGCTTTTTGTTTCTTAATTACATTATTACACAAGATTATTATGTTGGGTTTTGTAGCTTCCATGCTATATCTAATGAAACTAGATTTAGAAGAGTCCTGCTGATTACTTGAAGTTATTAAAAAGTCTAATACTTTAAGCAAGAGTACGTATCCCTGGTGGCTGGACAAATTCCAGTGTGGGTGGTTACAGTCCCAGTGTCCTGACATTTCCCTTTAGAGTATCAGTTGAATAGAGTTTTCCTCACTTCCTGACTGAATTAATTGTGTAGTACTGATTTACTGCACACTGTCAAACAGTTACCACATTCCACCCTAGAGGGAGCTGCTCTCAGTAGCTGACAAAAAGGTATGATACTTGTGTGTGTGCATGCATGTGTGTATAGATAAAACCTAAAATACTTGTAATATCAATTGAATATGGATATTTTATAATATCCCTATTAACAGAGACATGTTAACTTTCTGGATGGAAACAAACAAATGCTATCTGTTTTCTGCACTGCCATCAGTGTTACACTGCTCTCATTCCAGTCATCTATCCTGCAGGTGTACAAAAGTGCCAGCAAACGCAAAGCACATATCTTGAAGAACCACCCTGGTGCTGCGTTACCTCCGAGTATCCGGAAATTACGCCCAGCAGGCCCAGGCGAGCCAGATCCCATGCTGAGTACCCACACCCAGTTGACGGGCACAATAGCTACTCCACCAGTCTGTTGTCCTCACTGTTCCAAGCAATACAGTAGCAAGGTACGGTGAATGTGTCCCTGCTTCCAAACTGCTCCTCCGCTCCCTTCCCCTCTTTCTCTCTCCCTCCTCCCTCAATGATGTCTAGTTATTGTGTCTAGTTATTGTCCTTATAATCCATCAATCCAGGGGGCTTGCTCTTTCATCATGAGTCAAATAAATGATTTTGAACTAAGTGCTAACAATGTTGTGAGCAGTTTACTATATTTACAGTTTGCAAAGGAAGGGACTGTTTAGTGGTTAGATTAGGAAACTGGTGGGGTTCCTGGGTTCTGTTCCAAGCTCTGTCTTGAATTGCTGTGTGAGGTTGTGTAAAGTACTCCATCTGTCTGTGCTTCAGCTGGAGGAGATAATCCTTGCTTCTCCTGGATAAAGGAGTTTCAGTGTGATTTCACCGCCCCCCTTTTCCAGGGCTCAGTCCTAACAAATTTCTGGTTTTCCAGAAGCAGACTAACAGGGTACAAACAGGGCTTTCACTCAGCTTTTCATGCCTTTGCCAGGTTTTTTAATAAATCTGAGTATTTGCCTGGATTTTCAGTAATGGTTTCTGATTTTCAAATGCCTCACTTTTGGGTAACCCAGTTCAGATATCCTGGGTCTGACTTTGAGAGATGATGGGTGTCCACAAGCTCCAACCACAGATTTTCAGCACATCTCAAAATAGGCAGAAGACATCCCAAGTTAGTCATCCAGAATATCAGGGCTGTTTTAGAGAATGTTGCCCACAGGTCTGGTTATTCAAAGATGTATTCCTAAATTTTTTGGGGCAATGGATTTCTTTTTTTGAGGTTGTTAGAGAGGAAAGAGAGAGTCAGTGACAGAGGAGAGACTTGCTTCTGTCATCTCAGAAGGGTGTGTACTTGGCACATGTACTTGGCAGTCCTAGGGAAAGGATTTCAAAGAATCACAAAGTTTGAGGCAAGGTCTGCTTAATACCAACACAGTCATGAAGATCTTTTTGCTTCCTCATTGGTCCCTTGAGCATTGCATGGTTTGAATTACATGCTCATTGTTTGGGCAAAGCAAAGAGCTAAGATTCACACAACTGCTGATTTCACTTGCATTAGAGATGATCTGCTGGCCTGCTCCCTAATTCTCTTCTACAACTTTCCACAGACCAAGATGGTACAACATATTCGCAAGAAGCATCCTGAGTTTGCTCAGCTCCCAAACACAATACACACGCCATTGGCAGCAGCTGTCATCAGTTCTACGCCAGCAGTTCTAACCACTGACAGTACCACTGGAGAGACAGTTGTGGTAAGGATGAAAAAATGTTAAACCGGGCAATGCAAGTGAAACAGCCAAAGATCCTGGGTTGTAGCTATAAGAACTTATTGACACATGAACTTTGTCAAGAAATTATTATAAATCAGTGATCTGAGGCCTTTCCAGACTCAAGGAATACCTTGGAATGTCAACTCTTAGTTTTCACTTGGTTTTTGATAACACAAAAATAATAGAGCAATTCTTCTCTTGCATAGAACTCAGGAAGACCACAGCAAGTCAGAATGCTTTTTAACACTGTGGAGTCCTATGTGAAATCTCTGGGTTTATCTTATAAATCATGTTCGCACACCTAACAGTGCTAACATTGGGCATCTATACAGGTGCTTCGGGGTGAAGGGTGGGGGTGCTTTAATTAGAGTGGCTCTGAAAGCTGCTCTAATTAAAGTGGCCACAGCATCACATGTATTCAGCATCCTGCGCTTCCAAATGGCGGCCAGGGCGACTGAACTAAAGCTCATTCAATGAGGTTTAGTTAAAGCACCCCCGCTGGAATTTTGAAGTGCAGGGACACTGAGGCTGCTGGAGCACGATTAATCAAGTCTGCTACAACGCATGCTAATTAGCATGCGTCAGAACAGATGTTTGGCATGTGTATAGGTGCCCATTGTGTGGCACTCCAGGGCACCCCTGGAAGGATCTCAAGGTACTGTAGCCCTGATTAAGAATCACTGCTGTAGATCCGAGTACCAAACTCTTTTGACCTTGTGGCCAGATGAGTGGCATGGGATCAGACCATGGGCCAGACGAATGGTCAAGGGCTGGCCCCCGCAGGCTGGATTGGGTCCACAGCACCCTCCTTACCCCATATGCCAGAACCAGTGCCTGTGGCACTTGCTCCAGCTGGTCCAGGATTGAGTTACCTACAGTGCCCACTCTGGACAGATCAGATGAGAGCTGCATGTGGTGCTCACTTCAACTGGTCCAGGGTGGACTCCGCGTGTAGTGTGAGTCCCAGACTAGCTGGAGGAGGCACCAAATCTCTTGCATGTGAGGAACCCATGGAGCCTTCCCCCACAACCCCACATGCTGGATCCAGTACCTGGTCTGCCCACTCCAGGACTGCAGTGCCTACTTCGGGATCTGTGCTGCATGTGGTGCCTCCCCTGGACTGATTGGAGGAAGCACTGCTTGTGGCACAGTCCCAGAGCAGGTGCTGCATCTGGCATGGGAGGGGGAGGGGGAGGGTCCTGGACTGGCCCTGGGGACTGGATGAGATGGCTCTGCAGGATGTAACTGATATCCTTGCTATAGATCATTCCTGCCATTGAAGTTTTACATTATATTTTTGTTCTCCCAGGGGATTTATATTTCCATTTTTTTAGAGCTCTGAGGATGTACTTGTTTCCCAAGTCCGGTTTCTCCTGTTCTCAATATCCATAGGCTAGAGACTCAAATGACACTTTCAGATGCACCTAACTGACTTAGGAGCATGAGTCCCAGTGAAAATCTAGAGAACTTGTGCTGTTAAGACACATAATCAGTTTGGAAAATCGTGTCCTCTGATCTGATGGAGGAGGACTGGACGCAGCTCCCTTCAGTACAACGGGGAGTGGATATAATAGCACCCTTTAATCAATCAGATGGGTGCTGTTGAGCAATATGAGCCTCTCACCGTCAGCGCAGTTAAGCTTGTGGCTTCCACAACATTCCAGATGTCAAGACAGTGAAAAGAGAGGCTAGAAAATTGATCTTGTGTCTCCCCAGTGGCACTGAGTGTTGGAGGGCTGCTCCCTTGCACTATTTTAGAAACCAATTATCCACACACAAATCATTATTTCAAGATTGTGCATTGAAATTATAAATAACAGTGAGCATAGTTTGCTTGAAATAGGGCAGATTCACCCCTGTCCTATTCACCCTGTTCCTGGCTTGATGCATCTCATTAGCTGAATGTTATGTTTTACCTCATATTCTGTAAATAAGGTAACACAGAATCGCATCATTTTGCTCCAGTGGGAAAAGTTAGTTGAAATGTTTGGAGAACATATTCTCCAAGCACAGATTGGACCCTGGGGCAGACAAAGTTTCCATTGCCATAAAGAATAATTTAGAGCTGGCAAATATAACAACTGTATTTTCTATGCATTATGATCACATTTAAACATCTCAAGCAGGATCTGGGCAGAACAAGCGCTCCCAGTGGCATCATTGCTGCCAGACTCCAATTAAGCAGAGCTCTATGTGCAGTAAGCTCTTGTAAATAACTGATTAGTTTCCAGTGGTTCAGATTAGGTTTCTAGAGCCCTGAAATAATTACAAACACGTAAAGTATTCTGTCCAGCAGATAATATTGGATGATGAACTCTGTCTCTCTCTCCCCACCCCAGACAACGGATTTACTGACCCAAGCAATGACAGAACTGTCCCAGACCCTCACCGCAGACTATCGAACCCCACAGGGAGACTACCAGCGAATCCAATACATCCCCGTGTCCCAGTCCACAGCTGGCCTGCAGCAGCCCCAGCACATACAGCTGCAGGTTGTGCAAGTGGCCCAGGTAGGTTTCTTACTAATGACTAAATTGTCTCTTACCTCCCTCAGTCCTAAATTGTGCCACAGTTTTGAAGATTTTTTTTTTTTTTTATTTCCTGATGGAGAAAGGTTCTGGGTAGATATTTTTGGGAGACTGATGCTCTGGGTTTTATCCCTAGAAAAATACAGAATCAGTCCAAACTTCCCTTATAGTCCACATTTACCATGTGTTCTACCTCTGTTCCGATGGGAAAGGATGTAGAATGTGATATAGAGGTTTCTGTGGTCCATTCTGTTTTTGGCATCTGATGAAGCTTCCAAGGAGACCAGTTATGGAAGTAATATCTGATGAAGTAGGTTGTTGTCTATGAAAGCTCATGCCTCTGAACCAGTTAGTCTGTAATGTGCCACCCTGCCCTGCCTTCTGCTGGAAATAGTTTCTCTGGTGTAGACACTAGTGCACTACTTTAGGAGGAAGATAACCATCTCTTCTTCAAACAGGCACCCATACAGCCATCACTGAGGTCAAAGCATTGCTGCTGCTGCTGGGTTTGCGACTCAGGAGTTGGTAAAGTGTATCAGTGGGTGACCCACTTCTACATTTGTGAGCAGTAACTCGTAGTTTTTTTATTTTTAGGGCCCTGGAGCCAAAATTTGGAAGTTTGGAAAGTGTTTGCTTTACTCTTGCATTAACTGTTGGAGGATTCATTCTCTGTGACGTTCAGTAACTGCCCCAAAAATAAATGTAGAATATATCTGGGGAAAATGGACTTCAGGCAGCTCTAAGTACTCACCAGAGCCCTTTTAAATCTATCAGTTGCTGATTGCTTGGCTGGATCTGAAATTGCCGGATAGTTGGTATTTAAGCCTGAAGGCTGAAGCTGTCTCTTGCCTTTTTTGTTTCTCCTTTTTAGCAATCCAATGCCTCTTGTTAGTGATGCCCTAAACAATAGGGCTGCTTACCATTATTAACAGATGAAGATTTAATGATGCAGCTGTTTTGAATTCTGATGGCTGCAGTTTTCCATTATCTTAACAAAATGTGATGCCTCTAATTAAATTACTATATTGATTAGAGGGTGCTGCCCCAAAGGGTCTTTAATAAAATAATAGAAATTACTCCTCTTCTGTCTGATGTAGATCTGTAGCTAATCATAGCATGTTCTTAAATGTGTGAATACATATATTTAGGGGGAGGGAGCTGCTTAGGGCACTGTCCTAACTCTTGGGAGACCTTGCTACAGAATCCATTCTCTGCTTTAGGTGTCATGTATGATATTGGGCAAGTCATTTAGCCTTTCTGTTTCCTCACCTGTCAAAGTACTTTTAGTAATTAAGATAATTGTCCATTGAATCTTCTGTGTTTGTCATTCGGCTTCCATCATGCCACAGTTTTCTTGCTTTACTTAAAAGTTAGCAATATCCTCCCTTTGTACCACACATTGATCACTGGGGATTATTCTTTAGTATTTTTAATTTGGTAGTGCCCGGAGATCCTGATCAGGATCATGGCCCCATTGTTCAAGCACTGTACAGTAAAATGATGGACACAGTCCCTTTCTCAAAAGAATCTACAATTTATAGCTCTGTTTCGATTTGTCCCAGGCTACCTCACCTCACCAGTCCCAACACTCTACTGTGGATGTTGGACAGCTGCATGACCCTCAGACGTATGCCCAGCATGCCATCCAGGTGCAGCATATCCAGGTCACAGAGCCAACCTCAACAACTCAGTCATCATCGCAGGTATCCCACACTTTTAGTGTAAAGAGAATTACCCATAACAGGATGCACAAGTGTAAACCTTGGACAGCTCAGTCTGCAGCAGCTTTATCCATAGCATTCCTCTTGAACTCTCATGAAGAACTGCCCATGAAGTGGGTGCTCTTTGAAATCATTTGATAGTTCCTAGTTGGTCCAATTTATCATGCTATATGCAGGGTAATTATGGAGACACAGTGGGTGGGCACATTTATGTCTCCATATGATTACGGCAGTGTGACACATTAACAGATGTATGAATATGGGCCATCCCCACAAGGAACCTCAGGGGAATAGGTGCATCTTGATGATACAGTGTGGACTGAGCCTGAGACTAGAAACTAGGAAGTCTGAGTTCAAATCCTACCTCTGCCACTAACCAGCTGGGTGACTTGGGGCAAAACCTACCAGTTCTTTACCTCAGTTTCTTTCTATCTGTAGAATGGGTATAATGATACTTACCTATTCCCCAGGTTGGTGATGACTGGTCAAGCCAAGAAAGTGCATAAGTGAAAGTCTAATGTGCCTATATACTGCAGGGCTGTGTGCTTCAGAAATGCTTTGGCAGCTGTATAAGAGAGACATGTTCAAAACGGGTCTTTTTTATAAAACAAGTCTCTTTGTGTATGGAAAAAATGTAAAATGCTGTTTAAACAAAAAAACCTTTAAATAGAATCATAGAAGTCGGGTCGGAAGGGACCTTGCAGATCTTCAGGTCCGACCCCTTGCCTGGGCAGGAAGAAAACTGGGCTCAAATGACCCCAGCCAGGTAGGCATCGAGCTGCTTCTTAAAGACACCCAGGGTAGGAGCCAGCACCACTTCCCTTGGAACTTGGTCCCAGATCCTAGCCGCCCTGACTGTGAAGTAGTTCTTACAGATGTCTAATCTAAACCTACTCTCTCCAGCAACTTGTGGCCGTTATTCCTTGTTATCCTGGGGGGCACTAGGGGAAACAAGGTCTCCCCCAAACCCTTCTGGTCCCCCCTAGTGAGTTTATAGACGGTCACCAGGTCCCCCCTCAGCCTTCTCTTGTGAAGGTTAAACAGGTTCAGATCCTGTAACCTCTCGTTGTAGGGTCTGCCCTGCAGTCCCCGGATCATGCGGGTGGCCCTCCTCTGGACCCTCTCAATGTTGTCCACATCCCTCCTGAAGTGGGGTGCCCAGAACTGGACACAGTACTCCAGCTGCGGCCTGACCAGTGTCGCGTAAAAGGGGAGGATAACCTCCTTGGACCTACTTGAGATGCACCTGTGGATGCACGATAGGGTCCGGTTAGCCCTGCTGACCGTGACCTCACATTGTCGGCCCATGTTCATCTTGGAGTCAATGATGACTCCAAGATCCCTTTCTGCTTCTGTGCTCTCAAGAAGGGAGTTGCCCATCTTCTAACTGTGCTGCTGGTTACTACTGCCCAAATGCGGCACCCTGCACTTGTCCGTATTGAAAC